AAATTTAAGCAGCTTCAGTCTGGCAGGAACTGTTTGGGCAGACAGCCAACTCCAAGATCTACACTAACGCCCCTTTGTCTGCCCAGTGGGAAGCATGAATTATTGCCCACGCTGTTTAATTGTTCCTCCTCCACAGCCAGGAGAGGTAACAGGCCTCAATTCAACGCAGCTCACATCAGGAGTGAGACACAGCAGGGAAATCAATCCTGTACCATCTTACTCCATCGCACTGAGCAGGGGCACTGAGCTTAGCATTATTTTGCTGCCCTGGCCATTCAATTTTTAACGCATCATTTCATATGAGAATAAAAAATGACACGTGCATGTTGATTGGTTTAGCCCAATCTTGTCCCTGAAGTTAAGCGCATCTTCTGGCGATCGTGTACCTCTAAACTTTCCTACATACGCAATAGCCTCTTTGAATGAAAGGGCTGGATGATTTAACTTAGACACCACCAAGGTAACTCAACAACAAAATTACATTTATAGAGCGCCTTTCACATCGGGAGAACGACTCAATTCCATAGCTTACTGGCCAGGAGCAAAGTTAGACATAGTGATGCAGTGTTAAGTTCTCTCTGTCAGGTAAGGCTGACCAACATGTCAAAGTAGAAATATTATTGGAGCCGGAAATACAAACTCGCGTCTTTTAGTTAAGAGGACTAACGCTTTTAGGTTTTGTTACATTTTACAGATTCTTATTCACAGAACTGTCTCTCTGCACTGCAGAAAGGATTGCTCTTGTTAGCCCTACAGAAAACCTATTACCTCCAGACAAATAATGAACTTTTCTGGGTACTTGAAAAATCCCTGTTAAATTTATATCATTTGCATGGATTTAGAGATTATCAGAACAGTTATTATCTGGAATAACTGCATGAGTGCAGTATTGAGCACCATCATCATTGTAATTCATTACTTAGCAGGACCAATTTGTCAGTTCTGATGAGATATGAGAATTTATTGTAAATGTTCATTGATTAGATTTTGGCTCCTGAAGCTAGGAGATAGAGATTTGATTGAATGCAGATTGTTGCATCTGATTATTTAAACCTCATTTTGTCAAATTCATATTCTTAAAAAAATGAATTGCAATGGAGAGGACGTTAGCTGCTCTTGGGATCCCTGGCTAAATTACGCTTCTCAAAAAAATTGAAAATCTTAGCTGGAGGGTCCACTTCTTTAGCTGTGGATGTCATCTCCCAAAGACACCATCTGTTTGATTGAGGGAAATGATTTCTTTCTGATTTCTCCTTATATTCCTCTGAGGACTAAAGGTCCAGTCAAAAGGTGTTTGCTCATCATTTCACTGGAAAAACAATTTATTAACTGCATTTCTTAACTAAACGAAAGGCATTGCATATGGCAAAGTGTTTTTCTCCTCTATTGACTTTGATTTGGGTACTCATTGATCTGCAATGCATAAGGTATGTACACATTCTACAAATTAATTATTTTGACGAGATGGCACACAAAGCAAATAAAATCTAAAACTGCCTTGACAGAGATCTGGAGTCCTGTAGCTTAGTGGTTAGAGCACTGGCCTCACAAGCGAGAGACTTGGATTTGATTCCTGGCAGGGCAAAATTTGGGGCAAGTTTCCTTATTCTATGCGCCTTTGTTTACCTAGCAGTAAGTAGGAACTTGGTTGTTAGTCTTTTGGCAGATCACTTTTCTGGGGTTAATAGTTCTTCCAAAACAAACTAATAATAATAAATTGGTCATTTCAATCCATGACTGTGTGTGGGACACTGCTGTGCACAATTGACTGCCGCATTTCGACAACAAAATATACACTCAATTCACTTTACAGTATATTCTGTGAAGCGCTTTGAGATGTCTTGAAGAGGTGATAAGGCGCTATATCAAATGTAAGGATTATTATCTCCATGACCATGGAGGCTTTGTTTGATTAAAGCAAACTGTGGCAACAGTCAGAGGAAGAAGCTGAAGAGAAGTTATTATCTGCACTTTGGAAAGTGACAAAAAGATCAAAAAAAGATAAAAGTAGATAGTGGTTGTAAAAAAAATCTATTCCATCTCTGACAGCTCCACTCAGACCCAATCTACGCAGGGTTCCCCGCCCCCAAGGTTTCTCTGCAATTGTATTTATTTTAATTAATGTTGCAGGCAACGGTCTACACAGGCTCACCAAGCTCCACACCCCATACAGACCTCATCCTGTCTCCACTATCTCTGCTCAGACCCAGTCCACACAGCCATTCTCTGTCCAAACCCTCCATTCAGTCTCTGCTCTACTCTGTCCTCCTCTTCATTAGTGATTAAAATGTGCCCACAGCTACCTGTCAGATAGTCCTGTGTGTGCACACCTTTGCCAACAACACCACTCTGTGTTCAGCCCACTAGGAGGTGTTCATGAACACCATAGGATGGGTTCTTCTCAACTGGCCTGTTGCTCCCTCAGATGACACCTATTGATGAGATCTATTAGGAAGAAATAAATTCTTTTTTTGGCCACTTTTCTCCCCTCATCTTATGGTGTTGACTCAACTTAATCCTGCACCAAGCTTCACATCCAGTACAGACTCCTGTCTCCACCATCTCCACTCAGACTCAGTCCACACAGCCCCCACCCACAGTTTCTGGCCTCCCTTCTTAGGTTCCTTAGACTTGGCCCTTCTCTTGTCCCAGCCTCAGCTCCATTCAGTCTCTGCTCCAGGACGTGGCTCTGGATTCACATTTTTTGAGGAATCTTTGAAAACTCTTGGTTACAATGCTGCCTGCAACACTAATTAAAATAAATACAATTCCAGAGAAATCTTCTGTAGTTCTTCTAAATTCAATTAATAACATCAGTGCATCACGACTGGACCATGAAACATAATTATTTTTGTGACTAGAATCAGACACTTAAAGACCAGGAGAGTGAAATTACCAGCAAACCATTCAGACTATTAAAAATTAGGTTTACAATGATAGATGCTGCACTCCTTTAAATGGACATTTATTTAAAAATAATATTCATTCTCATTTTTCACCTTTAAAAAATTTAATAATTATTTTGAAACCCAAATATATCCACAATTCCCTCAAGGAATGTACAAGTTCAGCAGAATAAAAGGGGTGGGGGAAGTGGTAGAGTGTAGGAAAGCTGAATAATTTTCATCATCAATACCAGAGCTTTTAAGCCCTGAAATGCTGTTAATGTCACAATTCATTTATTGATTCATTCTTCGTGCTAGAAACACAAAAACATGTCAGTGATCTTTTGTTCAAATTAATACAGTAGATATAATGGAACAGTCAGAGGGAATCCTAATGAGTATCAATAGACTTGTTGAAATTTAAGTTTTAATTCTCTGCACTGCAAAACCCAACCCAATAAAGAAAAGCAACCAAAATATGAAGTAACTTGGTATTACTAGTAATTCTTCACTACTTTCATTTTGTTTGAGAGAAAACTCATTTTAAAAACGTTTGACATAATGGAAAAGATCAGATTTGTCTTAATTGTATTATTTGATGTGCTATGCACTCGGCACATGTACAAAACTGTACTTTAAAGCTATTATGCTCTTTTCCATTTTAAAGAATATTACCTCCCCTTTAACTTGTCCCTGTTGAGGAGTAACCAGATATCTGCTTCCAATGTTTTGCTGATGTTGCAATGACCTAGTCTCTGGAATACGTATGAGAGCAACATAGGTTGAATCACTCTGCATTTTGTTTTAGTTCTCACCCGCTCAGTGCGTTCTTATAATATATAATAGTAATAATCCTTGCATTTGGTATAGTGCCTTATCACCTCTTCGAGACGTCTCAAAGTACTTCACAGAATATGCTGTAAAGTGAATTAATTGACTGTGTATTTTGTGGGTGAAATGCAGCAGCCAATTGTGCACAGCATTGTCCCACATCAGTCATGGGTTGAATGGCTAAATTATTATTTTTTAAAACAAATTACCCCAGAAAAGTGATTTGCCAATCGACTGACAATGTTTAGCCCTGCTGGGAATCAAATCTGAGTCCTCTTGCTTGCGAGGTGAGTGCTCTAACCACTAAGCTACAGGACTCCACAGACTTATGACTTTGTGAGAGAGGGAACTCATTGTGTGGTGAATCATAACCATATATTCCCATCCAACCATACAGCAAAGTGGCTTGCTAGTCACTGATGCACTCATTTAAAATAGAAGAATTGCTGCATTATTTTGTTTTTGAAAATTAAACTTGCAAACAAAATTACACAATTTGGTGGGAAAATGGAAAAAAAATGTTCTCAAAGAAATACAACAACAAAAACTAAACAAGGAATAGGAAGTTTATTTCTAGCAGAAACAAAATGCGTTGATAATGATATGTAATAGTCAATATCCTTTTATTTCTCTTTCCTTCCCTGACAAAACTACAGCGAATGTTAAAAGTTACGAAAGGTGCTAAAGAAAAAGTGTTTAAAATCTGAATTTTTTTATTATTTGTGACCATCTACATTAAACATATCAGCTTGTTTGACATGCTTGCTTACTATTTTTCATCCTTCAAAACAGGTCTTACTGTGCAAATTTCCAAATTTTGCAAACTAAAAAGACTTTTTATACTTTACAGGTATCCTGTATGTTGTCATACATAGAGAAGTAGTTTTGATAAGAATGGATACATATTTCAATATATTTTTCTGAAAGGTAAAGCAATCTTTTTTTCTTATTCTCTCAGAGTGAAGCGATCTGTCTAGTAATACAATAATAGTGGCTCACACTGTGATGTGATACAGTGTGCTTTAGGGGAATATTGTCACTGTGACCTCCAGATGCCTTTCTGCTGTTTCAGATTCTGAGGTCAGCTAAGAATAGCAATTTGCTTCAAGTCAGAATAATCAGGAATTTCTCTTACACATTGAACCGAGCAACAACGAAAATGCACATAGAGAATTCTTCATATGGCTGAATGAAAGACAAGAAGTGATTTCTGTCACAAAGCAGTAAGTAGATTGCATGCACAGTTTCCAGAAATTTTAGTTGCAACCGTGTGCTTGGACTTACCTTAAGGCTTCGAGTAGGACGCACGACACAAACAAGTTGGACAGCAGCTGAAAAAGCTGTTCTTGCCTTGTGGTACTGATACCTGAAGTGCATAAGGTCTAATACAAACCCAAAGCAGTGTGTAAAGAAAAGCATCACAACTTCTGCTTGTTACAACAATATTTTAAAAATCTTCAGCCTAGCAGAAGGAGCCTGACGAAAACTGGAGGAGGAGGAGAAGAGTTTATCCAGCTTTGTAAGTTCTGAGATTCCTTCTCAACACAAAAAGGTTGGAGTCTTGCAGGGAGTGCAACAGCCAATGGAAAGAACAGCAATGTTATCCTCAAGGGCCACAGATATCCAATAACAAATAACTCCCCCTCCCACTACCACCACACACACACCGATGAACGGAATCAGTGGAAAAGGCATTGATAAATACTCCTGAGCACCACAGATATGCCTGTAAGTTGCAATTATAATCGAGCTGCAGTGTTGTTCTGACATATCTTTGTTAGTGACTTGGATTTATTTCAGAAAGACATTTTTAAAAAACAGTGGAAGGAAAGGCGTAGCATAAAAATGATTTGCAAAGTATATGAATTTCATTTCGCAGCAGCTCACTGACAAAAATACTGTGACTCTCAAAACCGCAATCCTCTTGAAGTGCTTGAGAGGAATACAGTGTTTTGTAGCTGCAAGCAATCAACACATAAGTGCATAAAAATGTGCATGATTGCGTCTCTGTAGGTCATCTTCTGCCTTTCAAAGAATTCTTATATGTTTTAGATTTTTGTGATCTAGCAGCAAAAAGTGCGCATATTTTTCTGATCGATTGTATTTTTGTGCCTGGATTTTTTAAATACAATTTCAAACTGGAGCTTTGTGCCACTTTACTATTGTGAGTTAGAGGTGATTCAAAGTGTCAACAGAATGATGGTTAATCTTATCCAGAAAGAAATGAAGAACTCTTTTTTTTCGCTGCATTCATATGTAATCTCACTGCTGTGTGATCCTAATGGATTTCCTGTTCCTACACATCAAATCCAGTTATGAAACTGTGGTCATCTTAGTTAACCTGCAGCTGTTTGTGGACATGCTCTTCAGCACTTGGATGAATGTGCATTCAGAATCGATGAATGTAGTTTTGATTATACAGGTCAGAATGGCACTGAAATACTGAGGACAAAACCTTTTCCCCACTACCTACACCGTTTTCATGCTTGAACAGACCATTAGCTGAGATGCAGCTCACTGTCAAAGATTTACAGCACAAAGGCCTTAATATCCTAATGGAGACTATTCACTGGAACTCTGCAGTCCACTTTGGAATCTGTATTCATTAAAAAAAGTGTTTTAATTGAAAAGAAAAAAAGATCACATATTTAACATGAATCGTAAACATTTTTATACAAGGATATGCTTCACTGACATGAACGGCCTCGTCCCAGGTGAAGTAAAAATAATCATAAATAGATGTTACCGAGTATCAAGCTTTCAACATTTTCTAACAGGAAAACAAAAACACCAGTGTTTTCTTTTGCTGCAACTCACACCAATATTGCAAGCAAAAATAATATCACTGCAAAATTGTAAGGATGCAATTGCCTTCCTTATATTTATTAATGATTGATCAGTCAGATGGAATTGACATGAGTGATATGTTATCTGAGGTACTGAGGATAGAACTGTGATCTAGAGTGCACGGATCAGTGGCACAATCATTTCCTTAACACCCCAATGTGACTATGTATGGGTAAAGCAGCAGATAGCACTCTTCTCCCCATGCTCAGTTGTTTTCAAGGGGATGGGGATGATAGCAGAAGAAATGGAATCCATCACACTTCTGAGTGTTAGAGTCAGCCAAAATCTGCCATGGGAATTAATCTTTCTTTTGAAACCAGCTTGGAGCTGCAACTTGAAAAGCTCATGTTCAAGGCATGAGTGTGTCCAACGAAGCTGCACACGATGTTGCTGGTGAAAGATACTTTTCTATCCCCAATAGCATCCAGGGATAAGAGGAGGTCAGTCACACTGAACCAAATGAAGTCTGGGTAGTCCACCCCCTCACACACACACACACACATGAGGCACCACAGACAAAATGCATCCTCTGCAGATTCCAGTCCATGATCAGTGAGGCAGGGCTCAGGGTGGTAACCCCACATGGCTGATTGATCTCACATGGAAGAGAAATGGTCACAGACAATCCATTGAATGAGCTCTTGCTGCCATGGGGAGTGATCCTGCAGAGCACTTTATTGCTTGAGTGCCTCCTGCCCAAAACTCAGGTAAAAGAATATTAAGTTAGGGTGACAAACCACAGAGACCAAATGAATACAACAGCTTTCTTACTAACAAACTTATTGAGATAACATCAGTCCTTTCAAAGTTTAATAAAAACAGTACTTTCTTCTCTTTTAGGTTCTCCCCAGCTGAGGGGTTATGCACATTATATTCTGAAATCCTAGGGATCACAGTTAGTTGAACCAGTTACCCATCTCCTAGGCACCTGCCAATGACTGGTAGCTGTTGCATTCATATGGTTCCTGTTGATTGTCACCCTAATGTACTGTTGTTCTTCTACACCTAAGAGTGATGTGGTTAACATGATTCTGCAGCTTAAAACACTAAATAACAAGTAAACAAGTCCTGTAGCTCAGTGGTTAGAGCACTCGCTTTGCAAGCGATAGACCCGGGTTCGATTCCCGGCAGGGTGAAACCTTGGGCAAGTTTCCTTACTCCACATGCCTGATAATAATCTCTCAAAAAAAAACAATAATAAATTGGTCACTTCAATCCATGACTGTTTGTGGGATACTGATGTGCACACTTGGCTGCCGCGTTTCACCCACAAATATACAGTCAATTCACTTCACAGTTTATTCTGTGAAGTGCTTTGAGACGTCTATAAGATGTGAAAAGTGCTATATCAAATGCAAGGATTATTATTATTATTATTAATTTATTTATATAACATATAACATATTTATATAACAGATCCTTCCCATTGGGACGACATCTCAAAGTGCTTCATACTACTGGCTGGGCATCGAGCTGGGGCGTGGGAGCTGAAGGGGGTGAGGGGGACAAGAATAACTGACAGCCTGGTCAAAGTTAAGCTCCTTGAGGCAAGCTTCAAACAGGGGATCGAGCGAGCGAGTCAGAGCGACTCTGGGATTGAGTTCCAGAGAGGGGGGGACGGAATAGTTAACACCCAGCACCATACCTGTTGCTCATTTTGTGAAACACTATGACCAAAAAACAAACACAGTATTCTAACTACAGTCTCTGCTCTCCCTCCTCTGCACTGTCTCCTCTAGCTCCCACTGTCTCCTTTAGCTCCCGCTGTCTCCTCTAGCTCCCGCTGTCTCCTCTAGCCCCCCCTGTCTCCTCTAGCCCCCGCTGTCTCCTCTAGCCCCCGCTGTCTCCTCTAGCCCCCCTTGTCTCCTCTAGCTCCCACTGGCTCCTCTAGCCCCCACTGTCTCCTCTAGCCCCCCTGTCTCCTCTAGCCCCCCCTGTCTCCTCTAGCCCCCGCTGTCTCCTCTAGCCCCCCTTGTCTCCTCTAGCCCCCGCTGGCTCCATGCTGTGGACTGACTATTACCCGCAGATTGCTCTGCCTCCGGTCTCGGTTTGCGTGCTTTGGCTGCTATCCCCGACCCGCACTCCTTTCCCCGAAAATGCCCCCATCCCTGTCTGTCCTCTTCCCTCCATCACTCCCGATCTGTCCTCTCTCTCCATCCTCCTTGCCTCCTATCCCCACTTGACCATCCCACGGCCTCCCTCTACTCCAGCCTGGGAATCCTCTGATGGGGTAAACGTGGCACTCGCTGTTGGCTGCCCAGCAGCAGCCACACTGACTGCCCCATTCCCCTCTATCATCGCAAGTCCCGCCAGACCCAGACCTTGGGGGCCAACCTCTCCTCCCTCATCCACATTCCCACCCTCCCTACCAATCCTCCCCCCCACCCATCCCTTGGCTTGCACATTCCTCTGCCAACTGTCCTCTCCGTATCGCTGTACAAAATGTCTGCTCCCTTTCAAACACAGTCCTCGTCATGATCGACCTCGATTTGATCTTTGAACCGTAGGCTTCTATTCGACTAGGAAAGTTACCTCATATTAAAAGTCTTGCAGCTTTCTAAATTAAACCCGACTATCATTTAGACATTAGGGAATGCATTGCTTTATGCCTGTGATGTTAAATTGCGCCGATCAACTTCTGTACTATAAATGTTGCTTTATTCCTCGTCAAGAAGAAATTGACCAGTATACTGATGTACAAATGCAGTTCATATATTCAAAAAGATAGTGGAAAATGCCATATTCCAATAAGAGATGTAATGTACTAGATATCAAATGCGAGATATAGTTCATTATTCTGTTAATGAATGAGTTGGGAATTATATAAAATAATAGATTCAGAGGGAGACTTTAACTCTTTACTCAAGGGAGCTGGTATTTAAAATCAAAGCAAATATGCAAAACTGTATGCATGGTTAGTTAAATATGTAGTTACCATGAGAGTTAAAGTAAGGAGGACTGGGACATCATTTACAAATCCCAGGATTTTTTCTTGAATCAGAACTAAATACACTGTAAATGCATTTCACACAATATGTGTCAATCATATTAAACATAAGAATGTAATCTGGAATGTTTGAGGCGGTGCTTAATATATTTTGGTTAGAAAGTAATAGCAAATTGGAAGTGGGAGCAATTGTTACTTTGATATTATTATTTTCTGAAAGAAATTGTTTTTATTTTGTTTAGCAGATTTCTGGGAAGATCTGAATTCCCCAGATTTATGTCATGAGGTAACACTGGAAACTAATTCTGAATGAATGGAAATGGCAACTGATGGAATGAATGCATTGTTTCAGACTGAGAAAAAGCACAGGAAGCAAGCTTGCTGCAGACCATTCACAAGCACTTTTGTTAGAGTTTGACTCAAGCACAAAACTGCAGGGGAGGAAGAGGCCACACATAAATAAGCAGAGGTTCTCAAAAATAAATGTATTTTCCCAGAAATATAGTGACTTGTTGGTGGCATGCTGCAGAATTATATCACACAAAAACTTTGCACTTATATGCGGACCCAGACCCCACAGGCTAACCTCTCCTCCCTAGCCTACATTCCCACCCTCCTCATCAATCTCCCCGCCCACCTCCCCACCACTTTGGCTCGCACATTCCAC